TTTTTTTTTTTTTTTTTTTTTTTTTTTTTTTTATAAATTTAAAAAAAGAAGAAAAAAAATAATGTCCAAAAAATTTAAAGGGAGGTTAAAAAAAAAAAAAAAAAAAAAAAAAAAAAAAAGAATATTGTGATATTTAAAAAAACACAAATGCACACAGTGGTAGAGAAGCTAAACAAAAACAAACATATTTCAGTAGTATTTGTTAATCTGCTTTAAGTGACTATTTTTGCCAACTGTTCTTACATTTTAATTTTTTTTTTTTGCAAGACTTGACCAATACTTTTATCGATAAAAGAACCAACATTCAGAAGCTGCAACCCAACTTAGCCGCTGTTTTCAGAAGACGACAGGCGTCTTCCTGCTCAGGCGACATCTGCTTAAATTTTACCTGATGAACCGTCTCCTGGTTTCTTCGCAAGGCACAGTTGCTCAGTTTGTTTTACAGAAGGTGCATCTCTGTCTTCAGCTCTTTTCTCTGAAGGCTTTAATCCAATTATTCGGCTGGCAGATCAGCTGCAGCAGATGTGTTCTCTGTCCTGGAAAATCGCGCTGGATTTCTTTCTGGATTTCTTTCCTGGCGTCTCTCAAGAAGCTCCTGAGGTTGTTGTTTCAGTCACCCACAGCATCAATTCAATATGTCAATTATTTCACATGATTTCAATCATATGAATACATTTGTTAGGCTTATTTTTATGTTTTGTACTTATTTGTCATTATTTACCTGTCTGAGAAATATGCACTGAGGTTTTCTAGGCTGAAAGGCTTATGTGTGTATGTCAAAATGCACCGATTCACTTTTCACACTTCCGATACAAATATCTGAGGTTTGGTATCGGCCCATACTGATCCGATACAGAAAAACTGTTCTAGATTTAATTGAATTTTAAACGCAGACATTAATGTACAAAATTACATATTTCATAACTCTGCACCAGTACAGCACACTTAAATACACTAATAACTTCACAAGTTTGGTTAAACATGTCAAGACAACCCAACTTTAATTCATTCTGTTGGTGCAATTAGGAGTAAAACAGCCAATGTAAAAAAAAAAATTATAATAAAGAAACAGAAGGTGACAAAAATAAACTGCAACTAACCTTTTAAATGGTTCAGAAAGTGCAATTTCTAAATATAATGTAAAATAAATAAGAAAGCATAGAAATAAATTGAATAGATGAGGACCATTGTCACCGATACCCAATCTAGAATATTTTTCAATATCAGATCTTTGCATCTCTAGTTTTACACATCGGTGAATGTATTGTGGGATTCCTTAAAGATATTTCTTAATTCTTGGATATATCTTCTTATTTGTTTGCTTACTAATAACATAGTTTAATGAATTTCTAGAAATGTTGATTTTCATCTGGTGAAATTCTCACTGCAGAAAAACCCACAGCTTTTACATTTATGCAGCAGGATGTTGAGAAAGCGACTGGAAAGACAAACAGTGAAACTCCACTTCCTGTAACCCACAGCTAGCAAAAGAAGCTACGCCTAGCATGCTATAGTTAGCCGCTGGTTCTGCTAAACTAAGCAGAACCAGCAGCTATTTTGGGCTTTTTTTATGTTTTATGTGCAGCATAAGATCATAAGCTGTTAAAAATCTAAAAATATGCAAATTTATGAAGGCTTAATTTGATTTGTGAAAAAGAAAAAAAAGGGATTTTAGTGTTTGTTTCGCCTTAGGATTTCCTAAACTAGCATAAAAAAACTTTAATTTAGGACATTTTCCTATCCTTCCTGTAAAACAGTTTAATTTTTTTCAAGTATTAAAATTTTTTTTTGAAGAAAAATAAAAATAAGGTAATGTTCTTTTTTTTTTAATGACAGAAAATTTTATCTTGACACCAAATGAACAAAATCACAAAGCTGAGGAAATATCCTGTAGAACAATCACGTTTTATTGCAGAAGCCAGATACAAATATTTGGAATAACTTGTCCTCTATAGTGATTCTTCCTAATAGGTTAATTCCTGCTGTACATTATTACCCATAGAATATATGATTACAAAGCAAACAATAACTTAAATATCAAAATGCTGTACAAAAATCACGATGTACAAGAAGTCGGTGTAGACACTACGCTCAGCATACAGGTATAAATAAAACATACAAAAGAGGCACTTAAGAATATTAGAGAAACCTGCACACACACACACACAATACTGTATGTTTACAAATTAATTTCACAAAAAGTCAACATACTTGAGTCCATGTTATCATACAATCTACCTGAAAAGGTACTTTTACAATTATATCAGATACACTTGGCTGAAGAGTGATGTTGAAACCTTGTCAGCAGGAAGAAAATCTGATTAAGTCAGGAAGAACTGCTTAACCCTTGCATGGCTTTTAATTTCACAGATTTCTATCTATTGCAAGCAGAGAATTTTTAATTAATTACACTAAACCTGCCTCCAAGATAAACAATCTCAACATTTCCCTCTATGACACTACACACTACGTCCTTAAATTATTACAATATTTGTGCAAAATTATTATTTTAAATTAAAATTCGTATTTATTTGAGCGAAAAGAGCATCAAACTTAGCCCTAAAAAGTTGTTTAAAGTCAAATTCACAGGCTTAAAAACATGGTCAAAAACCTACGCATGAGGTTGGAGTTCACGTTTTCACATTAAGGTAAATTATGGCGACACAAGTTGACCAGGTGTGTTTGTGATGTGCAGCAGTTCAGAGAAACCTACAGTGTATCGACTCAGGAAGACAGATTGTCAAAAACACCAAACATACACATTTCAGTCACAATAACTTCAGTCAAAATCCATTTTTACTGTATTTTCGTTTTTGATTCAAGAACAAAAGGCTTATAGACGACAATACATCCTGTGGCGGCTGATAAAGAATCTGTTGTCAGTCACAAATGAATAATAAATAAATCCTCCACACTAAACATCACCATTGATGGAGATGTGTAAAAAAATTGTTTTAAATCATTTAATTTTTATTGCAGGAGCACAAAAATCCAATTTAGCACCTCGTCAAATCTTCTTAGTAGCATGTTTTCTTAAGTTTTTCATTTTCATAAGTAATAAATTATGAATTCATTTGCAAAAAAAAATAATTATATAAAATTAAAATATATGTCCACAAAAAAAATTATGTGGAAAAACTTCACAATAAGTGAATGGAACTGAAACTTTTTATTTTATTTTGATTTATTATTCATTATTATTTTATTTTCATTTATTGTTTTTCTCTTGCCATTGACCTCCTGTTTCCCTCCAGTATAAATGTAATGAACACAAAGGCCCATTTCTCTCAGCCACTCTTCAAAATGGGAAAGATGAGAAAACATGCTATTAAGGTAAAGCAGAAAATATCAATTTGTCCATTTCTGCAGTCAGAGGCAACAACCGAAACTGTGATAAAGGATGATCTGACGACATCCTGGGTTTATCATTACAAATATTGCCATCATGTTGCCATGACAACCACTACCACTCTCCTACCATCACAAATGTGAACTTTTGCCATTTGCTACTGCGGGACTTTAACTGGGATTGTTTGATTTTGGTCAGACGAGATCAAGGTGGAGTTTTTCCTGCAACAAACACTCCATGAAACGGGGGACAGACGTCTGGAAAATCCCCTCACACACATTGTCCAGTACGGTGGAGGACCCGTAATGCTGTGGGCCTGTTTTTATTTTAAAAGCCTTGGGAAGCTACAGCGTATGGGAGCTGATGGGAGCTGCCAGAAGACTTGAACATTTTCCAAAACATTTGGAAAAGGCAACAGAGAAAATAGTTCAGCAGACACATAATTTACCTTTATCTGTGGAAATCTCAAGAAATTTGTTAAAAGAAAAAGATTCCTGAAGGCACTCATATACGTTAGATTCTTCTACATATTTAAGTGTGTTATTATGCTGCTGCAATAAAAAAAAAGTATTTATACCAGGGGTTTTCACACATCTGTACCAGGGAGGGCAATAAAGCACAGAGAGGCAAATTATCTATAAGCCGTTATATCTCTGAAATATTTTCATTAAATGTGTTTATACACTTGAGATAAGATTTAATTTAGAACCTGACAAAGACAGAATCACATTTCAGACGTGTGATTACTGTCTGTATGCCACCCAAAGCCTTTCAATTCTTTTTTTTTTTTTTTAAATCGCTTCTCAAAGGTTCATTTTTCTCTTTCCTTCTCAGCTGAAACAGTAAAAATCACAGAGTAGACACAGTTTTATCTGATATCAACAGAAATGAGGCTCTTAGGTCGATCTAAAAACATTTTCAAAGTATTGCTCATCTTTTCCCCAGATTTTGACGCACAAACAAAACTCTGTTCATTTGTCTATTTAACAATATTTGCCTTCCATGTTGGCGTCAAAGTAAATCAGTATAAGGCAAACATCTCCCCCATTTTTCTTTTATTAAAAGTACAGTCCTTTAGACAAAAGTAATACATTGTCTCTACTGGTATGAATGATTTTGAAAAGTAATCAGAAGCTAAATAAAAAAAAAAGACATTATAATCCTAAATATGTGTAACCTGTTTTGCAATTAATTTCTAAGCCCTTAACCTGAATTGATTCTAATCCCATGTTTATTAGTTAAAATGTTTCATTGATGTCTTCCTGGGTTTGAGTATCTGATACGCTGCAAAAACACAAAAAACCATCAAGTATTTCTGGTCTAGTTTCTAGTGCAAATATCTTAGTACACTTGAAATAAGACAAACCAACTTAAAAGTAGCGTTTTTGCAAAATGTAGGAGCTTGACTTAAGTCAATAATATGTTATTATTATTATTATTATTATTATTTACTGGGAGATTATTTAACTTATAACTAAATATTTTTCCAATTTTATAAGTGAAAATCTCCCAGTAGAACAAGTACCTTCGTTGAAATGAACAACATTTACTTAAAACAAACTCGTATATCCAGCTGAAAAGTTGAGTTTTGTCTTATTTGATGTTTACTAAGATATTTTCTAGGGGAGAACCGATTTACTGGTTTTGATTTCCTTAATTTTGGGAGATCATTGATCGGCTGATTTTCACATGTGAGCTGATCTTATCCACTAATCTCATCTACCTTGGCAAAAGTCTGAACATCTTTGACTGACAGACCGGCCCACCAGGTCATGTCTGCATGTTCACAATAATCACCCCACAAGTACTAACGCTGTGACTTTCCCTCTTGCTATATTTAGCGACATTTCAGACAAAACAAATTATCGGTCAAAATCGGAATCGGCAGGGTAAAAGATCTGTAATCGGCGATCGGCCAGTATACTGCAGTCGGTGCACCCCTGATAATTTCACTAGAAACCAGGTAATATTTTGAGTTTTTGCAGTTTCCTCTCAGAAGGAAGAAGCCTAGCTGAACTCACTCCTCTCTCTTCTCCCGCTAATGAGCATCAGCTGCCCTGACAACCCGGCTTCATAAGAACCGAGGTCCGGGAAGCCCTTAATCCCTCCTCCTACCAGGTCCTGGCACATTATGGCATCATGGGAAGACACATTGATCCGGCTACTTGCTGTGTTCTCCTCCCCCCTCCTGTGGTGCTCCGGTGTGGGAGCAGGAGCTCTGATCCCGCTGCTCCCGCCGCCAACGCCACCACCACCGCCGCCGCCGCTGCAGGCTCCCTTCTTAGACGGCGGCCCCCAGAGGAAGGCGTGGGCGGGCCTGTAGTGCTTGCGAGCGAACCGAAGCAGGCGTCGCCGCGTGGCCGGGAGGCGGATGGTGTAGACGAAGTACTCCAGCACGCTGTGCTGCATGTTGGGAAGCGTGCCGCTGCACAGCGACTCCTCCAGGAAGAGGCGAACCAGCGGGGCCTTGAACGCCTCGTAGCCGAGCTCACCAAGGGACTTCAGGATGCGGGTGATCCTCAGGTAGTTGTGGTGGGATCTGGAAAAACAAAACGGGAGGAGAATGAGTTTGGTTGAGGCGTGGAAAACATGCAAATTAATTATTTGCTTTCCTCCTGCTGGGCTGAGAAACAAAGTTGAAAGTGCAACAATCTGGGGAATTTTTTTACTATTCTACAATATCGCCTTAAAGATCAGAAGCTGCTTTTCCATGACAATTTGCACAAAACTCCATTAATGTCAAAAGAACCACAATTTCGCAATTGCCTTATGCTTATTAAATAAGAAACGCAATTAAAATCACACATAAATAAGTTTGTTCACGCAAAAACAGACTGCACCATCATCCTCCTACCACTTCCTGTCGACTTTTTTGTCATTTCTGCCAGCAGTAACATCCGGTTGTTGATCACACGACTCGTGTGATCCAAAAAGTATTTCCATTGCAGTTTTGCCAGTCACACTAATTTCAATAAAGCTGAAAAACCGCCTCACCTTAGCGTAAAAACTTATTGAAAAAGATATTTTAAAAAAAATTGCTGTTTTAATTGGGAAATGTATTTTCATAATTCCCATTTGTGCAATTATATGTAGTACTTTCTCATTCAAAGTACTTCACACTTGGTTCAAAATGGTCTCGTTCCAACTAACTGACTGGATTATAAATCAGTTAAATTAATAAGAAAATAAAAAGTATAAATGTTGACCTAATAAACCTTCATATAAAACCAGTACCAAGAATCCAGATATGTATTCTGTTGAAAATACTTCATTTTTTTCTGGTGCTTTTAATGTTTCCCTAAGTAAAATCTGAAAGACTAGTCCACCACATGCAGAAACCTTTGCACATTTTGCCTCAGAAACAACAGATAACTGTGTGTTTTACATACAGGTGTCTGTTTCTGGAAGTAAACATGATGACATTTTACACTCCATGAAACAAACTGAATCCCAAAAAATTCTCCTTAAAACTTTAAGCCGTCTGTCTCTTGAATTAAAAACATGCTGCTTCGCATTTGGCTCCTGACGGGGGAGCAATCAAGATGCATCCGAGTTAGAACCATTACCTTCCCAAAACATGGAAAATGCAGCAAACGGCGAGCTAACCACGGGCTTCCCCGTACAAATTCAGCAATCCATCACCCAGCGCCTGCTGCACAGCGTGCTCTGTGGGCGTGTGGGCTTACTCATTAAGGTGCTGGAAGCGTTCCTGCCAGTTGGGGGCCCGAGCGACGTTGCCGCTTTTATCTAGCAGTTTGACGCCATAAAAATCCAGCATCATGGAATAGGCCGCCAGGAACCTCCGCTTTGCTTCCCGAGTGCTTTGGAATTCCTGACGGGTTTAAAGACAGCGGGTCAGACGAGCGCTGCGGTTCGTTTCACAGCGGCTAGACGAAACAACGACACCGGGCGGAGCTACTCACTTTGATCTCCTCCTGAGTCAGTTCATGTGCGTAGAAGTTGAGCCCTTGTTCTCTTAATGGGAACAGCCTGCGACACGGGAGGAAAGATCCAGGTTACAGGAAGTGGATGGGAAGATGATTACTTAGGGAATAATACTGATAATTAGTTGGAGCGCCGCTTCTCAGCACTTTTTATTGCTGTTCACTGTGGAAGGAAGAGGATTTGCTCACTCATCCCTTATTAAGGAGGCAACTGCAAGATCATCTTTTAAAATAACAAACTAAGATTCACTTCTCGCAGATTAAACCACCAAAGTTTGAAACCTAATTTGAGGTAGATTCTGCTGATTTAGTTAGCTTAGTTACAAGATAAGTTATTTTAATTACCCTGTTAAATGTTAGTGGGTACTAAGAAGCGGCTCACGAGTGGCAAAATCTTTTTTTGAGAACTTTGCCACGTTTTATTCTGTGGTAAAATTTAAAGGGATTCCCACTCAGGACTAGACAGCTGTTACAAACTGATACTTTAAGACAACATTTACTCGCTCTAAACTTAACTGTCTAAGTTTAAATCTTGAACTTTGCCCAAGAAAATCACTCACTCTGGTTGCTTCCCAGTTTGATCATAGATAAGCGCCCAGCGTTCTTAAAACTACGCACAAGTAAACGGTTTTCAACATAAACACAAATTTACTTTAATTTCATGTTTTTCAACGTAATCAGAAATACACATTTTTAGCTCAGCGGATCTCCACTCACCACTGAATGTAGGTGTGATTGTGCTCCAGTTTGTCGTAGTCACCTCTCCACTTTGAAAGAATCTCCTCGATGTAAATACCTGAAGAGAGAAGAGGATGGGCAGCTGTTGCACGCGTTTCTTCATCGCTCATGTTTCTGCTAACCTGCTGGGTTTCTGAACCTTTAAACCAAACGAAACTCAATAAGTTTACAGCTTCTTACCATCGGGCACCAGGGGGATCTTGTTCATGTAGAAGCGCAGGTTCCGATATTCGTTGGGCTGCCGGGACTTTCTAAAGTTCTGCAATGAACACATAAAATCTGGATGTCTACATGCGCATGTGTGTAGGAAGAAGAAAGGAAAATATATCATCCACGTTTTTTGGGAACATGCATGGGTGTAAGAACGTACTGGGTAGCTGTGACGGTATTTGTAGAGATCCCTGGCGGCGTAAAAACTCCTCTTCATCCTCGGAGCAGACTCTGGGGAGTCAGTCAGCTGAAAGAGGAAGACGGTGAATAAAATACAAGACCAAATGAAAAAAGACAGTTGAAAGAGAAAAGTAAAAAAAAAATGCAGGTCCAGAATGAAATAAATAAATCATTCCTTGTTAGAGCAGATGGAGGGTAGCTCTTATATGCCGTTCAGATGATTTAAAAGCATTTGCTCTCTTTTGAGGTCAAGTGCTGTCATCATTCATCCGTTTCTCAACAGCAAAGGAGGCCAACTCACATCAGTGCCGCGCTGCAGGCCCCACAAAAAGATCCTGCATGTGGATTATGGGCGTATTTAACTTTCTGAAGGGATTTACTCAGCTGAAACCTGTTTATACTCTGCAAATCATCAAGAAGTGACTTTTAAAAATACTTTCTCTGACAGACAGGGCATCTATGGACTGGAGCAGAGAGTTTCTTAACAAGAATTGGTACCAGAAGAAGGCTGAACTGGGTGTTTTACACTTTTTTAGAATTTAACTGGAATTTTGTTTGATTTGGAAACGTTTACAGCTTTTCAGAGTCAATGTAAAATTATTATTTTCTTAATAAATAAACTTGTAGCAACTGGATTTTTAGTAACGCTAGCTGTGCTAATTGCCAATATAATTAAAGAAATCTACTACTAGACACAAAAAATTCGTTAAAATGTGAACCCAATTTAACAACAAAAAGCTGTTCTATGGCAACTGCTCTCTCATGAAATTGACTCTGCTTGCAGAAAATAAAACTTCCACAAAATACTCTTAACTATGGTACATACATAAAAACTAAAACCTTACATAAAAGGTTGGAATTAAGTGACAAAATGGTAATTTGTGATTTTTTTTTAAATTAAAATTCCACACACTTATATTTACAATAGCACATCAAAATTTCATCAACATTTTGAACAAAATTTACTGTTTTAATCATGTTTTTATGGGTGAAAAATGGTGACAGCTACAACCACCTGACTTTAAAAATGTAAAGGTCCCAATAAAAATGATGGCTTTGGTGCTCATCATGTTGGTAAACATTATTAAACCTGAAAAAAATATACTCAAAATTAAAAGGTCAAAAAAAGGCTGCGTTTTCATCTTGTACATAAGGAAAACGAATTACTGCAAGTCTTGACTGCAAGTTTTAGAATAAAAGTAGCACAGATATCAAGAGCAATTTGAATTTGAATGCATGCCATTTAAAACGTAGCATCATATCAAACATTGCAAATATGAAGATTGTTATTCAACATAATTGTTGCCATTAACTTTGCATTTCTTTCCCATACGCAGTGTGGTTCTTTCTTCCTGTTAGCACTATATTGTTGCTCTCCACAGTCACCCCATGCTTGCATTGTTTTGTGATACAAATTTAATGAAAATCCAGACATTTAGTGTCATCGCATTGTTCGCACTAAATCAGACAGAAATTAATAGAAATATAAGCGCTAAATTACCTGAATCATCAACCGACTCCGAACTGATCTAACCACGGTTAAGCCATTATTGTAATAATGAAGTTTGCCCTCAGCTTGGCCTTGTCGGAACACAGTGCGCCGCTGACGGGACACACGGTTCCGCACCGTAACCCTCCTACAACCCCTTCGCCTGCATCACTCTCCCCTCCCCTTCCTCCGTGTACCTGCAGGGCAGCGTCCCCGCTGTGTCCCGCGGCCCGCTCGCTCTCCGCCGGGCTGACGGAGTCAGAAATGCCGCTGTCGTCTTCAGCCGTCGGCTCATCGCTCTCCGAGTCCGATCCCCACGTCGAGTCGCATTCCTCAACGGTGCTCGGCTCCTTGAAACGCCAGCTGCCCACCAGGTTTCCCATTGACAACACATGCAACTCCTGCCCTCTCTTATTGTCCTTTCGCCTGCACAGGACGCTACATCGTTGAGATCAACGCTGCCTCGGTGCGGGCGCTTCAGTGCGGGGCTTTTAAACGGCATAAAAAGGGGGGAAATTCCACATCAGACGCTATGATGCGCGTTTCGGTATGGGGGGTGATTAGTGCCGCCGAGAGGAAGGGGGAGGTCTTAAAGCCACAGACATCACAGCCGATGAGGAAGAGAGGGCCAATAAAAAAGGTAGTCTAGAAAAGCTGTAATCTAATAAATAGGACATTAATTTATTATGTGAAGACATTTTGAATTAAATTAAACTTTGTTTAAAATGTCTTAATGCATTAGATATGTAGGTCAGTGTTAGAAATTTTAATTTGATATAAAACTATGACCCATAAAAGAGAATATCAGGTTCATTCTGAGGATGAGTGGACAAAGATTTGTTTGTAATATTGAAGGTGAGGCAGTGTTAGTCCATTTTATAGCATAATCATGTAACTATGTTACCTTCAGCTGTTTTATTTATATATATATATATATATATATATATATATATATATACATATATATATATACATATATATATATATATATATATATGGAAAAAATAGAGTCATAGCACTGAGGTTCTATGAAACGCTCCTAGATCTCACACAATATAGCTCTT